CAACCCCCAGCATCCAATCATGGGCCTCCTCCAGCGCCTGTGGTCAGTGCAGGAGGCTTGGACCTTCCACCCCTGCTGGTCATCAGGGGGGATGATGGAATGAGGGGGATGGGAGGAAAAGCAGGGAGGAGCAAGCAAAGGAGCAGCCCAAATGCTGCCCTGTCCTCAATTTACAAAGAGCTTTGGCAAATCGCCAGTTAACAATAAAGTCAACAGAAAAATGGATACAGGGTAAATAGTTCAAAAGAAAACAAAGAATCTCGTGACATTATAAAGACAATCATGAGGCAAAGAGAGACTCAAGGTGGCAAAATGAGACAGTGATTTTCAGTACCTTACAGGCAGAACTGCAAAACATGACAGCACCCAGACTGATGAGGGTATGGGCAAACCAGACCTGATCGTTCCGCGCGAACCAAGGCAAAGCCTCGGGGAAGACTCTTCGGCCCTCTCCTAACACTAAAAGCACTATGTCAGAGGCTGAAGGTGTTCACCAAAACTCTCCTCTCCTTCTGGGGCCCACAGCTACAGTATGGCCCCCAGGGCTCCTCGCAGTCAGGTGTGGCTGTGAGACCAAGCTCTAGCCAATGGTAAGACAGCCTAAATGATGCCACATGCACTCAGACAAGGCCCATCAACGCTGGAACGGAGACCCCCTCACCTCGGGTCACCTTGGGAAGCCAGAAGTTTAAGGCAGCAGTGTGTCCACCACCAGGGATTCCGAACGACTGGGCAGCAGAAGAGGACTGCCCAGTTGACGTGGTCACCCACCCGCTACACGTGAGCCAGAGGCTCTGCTGGAGCTGGTGTGTATTTTGGCTTAGTACCTACAGAACCAATAGCAACTGTCCTATTCTGACTCAAACATTCACAGGTACTGTAACTCACTAGCAAAATTTCATGTGGACTCAGGTCATCCACGCTTGTACAAGTCTAGTCACAAGCTACCTAAACCCCAAATCGGGAGTGGCCAAGTCACTAATGGCACATCTAGACGACAGATGACCGTGCAGTGTTAAAGAGTGATAGAGATTTCTAAGTATTCAAGTGAAAAGGCTTCTAAAATCTACTATTACATGGGGAAGAAAACAGCAAGCTACACAACACAGTGCACAGGGATCATTATTCGTGTGTATGTATGTACTGGCACAATACTCAACAAAAAGCCCAGAGAAAATATGTTTAGGGGGGCTGGCGCTGTGGCACAGCGTGTAAAGCTGCTGTCTGCAGTGCTGGCATCCCATAAGGCACTGGTTCCAGTCCTGGCTGCTCCACTTCCAAACCAGCTCTCTGCTATGGCCTGGGAAAGCAGTGAAGGATGGCCCAAGGCCTTGGGTTCCTATACCTGCAGGGGAGAGCTAGAGGAAGTTCCTGGATCCTAGCTTTGGATCAGCCCAGGTCCAGCTGTTGCAGCCATTTGGGGAGTGAACCAGGGGATGGAAGATTCTCTCCCACATGCACCTCTGCCTCTCTGTAACTCTGCCTTTCAAATAAATAAATCTTTAAAAATAAACATATATGGGATATATATATATATATCCCAAACCTATATATATCCCAAACCTATATATAGATCTATATGTGGGAGTTTGGCATGGTGAAGACACTGCATGGGAGGAAGCAGCCCACATCAGAGCATCTGGGTTTGAGTCCTGTCTTCACTTCTGATCCAGCTTCCTACTAACATTCACTCTGTAGGGCAGAAGGTAATGGCTCAAGTATCTGGGTCCCTGCCACACACATGGGAAACCCAGATCAAGTTCCAAGTTCTTGACTTTGTCCTGGCTCAGCCCCAGCTGCTGTGGGCATTTGGGGAGCAAATAAACAGATGAAAGACAGATAGCTCTGTGTTTTAAATAAAATGAAAATAATTTTTTTTTTTAATTTTAAACAAAAGATACAAACTGTGCACCTGCCTGGGTTGTTCAGTGGAATTTTTAGTACCAGCAAACACCTGCATAATGGATGGTGTAGTGACAAACAGTCAAAATTAATCAGCTTATTAATAAACACTCATTTAGTGGCCAGCACACCACAGGCACAAAAGTACAGCTTAGGGACCTGCAGGATGCCCCGGCGCCCTGGCTCTCAGCAGGGACGTGAGGCTGTGCCAGTCCAGAAAGGTCGGCCATGCAGGTCCTTGCAGGCAAAGGCTGCTTTGGTGCAGGCGGATCTGCAGGCAGCACGCAGGCTCAGAGCCTCCTGGGGACAGGAATCAGCCCTAGTTCCTTTGATGGTTCTTAAGATGCGAGACGATGGGGACTTCAGTTCCAAAGATGAAAGCAAGAGGAATCCCCCACAGCCAAAGAAACACCACAAACCAGAGCAGCGCATGTGCTGAGAATCCGAATAGAATGCCCTAGAAATTCCAGGAGGACAGGACTATTCCTTTAGCGGAATCTGCCAAGGCTTCACTCAGAGCCTGCCCCATCCTGCAGCTCTCGGGCTTTTGCACACACAGGAGAGTCCACAGGAATTTCCTGGGTACATGAACCCAATCTTAATTTAGATTGACCTATAGGATTCTGCCTTTCCTAATTTCAGGTGGTTATGCATTTCCCAATTTCAGAAACTCATCACACAAGGATTGGCCACAGAGAAAAAATGGACACTTCAGTCCTGTTTCGTCTTCTTCGAGTTTCCATAGCTTCTCCCACAATCCTCCACTGCAGCCTCGCTCCCGGGATCTGCTGCTGCTAACTGGACGCATTATCCACTGGCCTGACTCACTAAGCAAAGACGGCTTTTGGGGCCGGCAACTGGGTCAGAGGAAGTCGCAGCCTGGGATACCAGCATCCTGTCTCACAGCCCCAGGTTTGGGTCCTGGCTCTGCGTCTGATCCAGCTTCCTGCTCGTGCACACCCTGTGGAGACAGTGATGGCTCATGAACTTGAAGCCCTGCCACCTACACAGAGGACTCTATAGCCAAGTTCCGAGCTCCTGGTTTCAGCCTGGTCCAGCCCCAGCTGTTGTGTGCATTAAGGGAACAACCCACTGGATAGAATATCTATGTATCCATCTTTCTGCCTTACTAATCATTACAAAGAAGTTTAAAGACCTATATTAAACAGGCACCCATTCTATCTCTGTCAACAAACTCATCACAGGATACACAGAACAAAACCAGCCAGCTGTGGGCACCCTTCCACAACCAGGGAGTATTGATTTTATGCCGAGTCATTAAAACTTCATTTTTCTCAACTTTGAACTGTCACTTGAGCAGGGCAAACTGAATTTTGAGAGCTTTGAAAAATTAACTCATACCTAAAATCACGGCAAACTTTAAAATACCAGACTGACAATGGAAAAAGCATGACACGTACCTGGAAGTAGAGAGAGCCCCTGAACCCATGCAGGCATACGACCTTCTGGACAGGGCTCTCAATTCTGACACACACGTTTTAGGGTTCAAGAGTCACCCTTTCGCCACGAAGTCAAACATTTTTGGCACTGTTGTGTATCAGACTGCCACAGCGAAGGACAGTACATTTAATCTATGTAGGAATCAGCCCAGTGACACATGTGGATTATTCAGGAAAGTAATTCATTAGGAAATTTCCTAGTCTGTTATCAGTTTTTCTAAAAATTGAGATATATAAATATATATACACACACACGTGTGTGTGTATAGAGAAGAGATGAAGAGAAAGAGACAGAGAAAGGAAGGAGAAGGAGGAGGAAGAGAGAGAGATTTCTTTTTTTTTTTAAACTTCTATTTAGTAAATATAAATTTCCAAAGTACAGTTTATGGATTACAATGGCTTTCCCCCCCCATAACTTCCCTCCCATCCGCACCCCTCCCATCTCCTGCTCCCTCTCCCATTCCATTCATATCAAGATTCATTTTTTTTTTTTTACAGGCAGAGTGGACAGTGAGAGAGAGAGAGACAGAGAGAAAGGTCTGCCTTTGCCGTTGGTTCACCCTCCAATGGCCGCTGCGGCCGGCGCACCGCGCTTATCCGAAGGCAGGAGCCAGGTGCTTCTCCTGGTCTCCCATGGGGTGCAGGGCCCAAGCACTTGGGCCATCCTCCACTGTACTCCCGGGCCATAGCAGAGAGCTGGCCTGGAAGAGGGACAACCGGGACAGAATCCGGCGCCCCGACCTGGACTAGAACCCGGTGTGCCGGCGCCACTAGGTGGAGGATTAGCCTAGTGAGCCGCAGCGCCGGCTCTCAAGATTCATTTTCAATTATCTTTATATAAAGAAGATCGATTTAGTATATATTGAGTAAAGATTTCATCAGTTTGCACCCACACAGAACATAAAGTGTAAAATACTGTTTGAGTACTAGTTACAGCATTAATTCACATTGGACAACACATTAAGGAAAGAGATCCCACATGAGGAGTAAGTACACAGTGACTCCTGTTGTTGACTTCACCACAAGGCCAAACACCCACCGCCAAGCCGGTGTCACTGTAGACACAGATGTAACACGGAAAGCGGGGAAGACGCACAAGCACACCCGCACACCAACTCATCGACACATCTTTAGCCGACAGCTTTGATCTCCAGTGAGAACCAACCATCCCTACAGTTACAGCTGTAGACACAGCCCATTCCACGCCCAAGTCCCCCAGCTTTCCTTTCCTTTCCTTTCTTCTCCTTTTGAATCAGTCAGCATCTTGTCCCACCCCTACAGCTCGAATTATCGGAAAGTTCCCTTCGCTCCAGCCACGCATTGCCTGAAGCTGAGCGCCAGAGATCTGGCTGCTCAAGAAACTGCACACACCACAATACTGCCGCCGGCTTTCTGGGACCCTTTGGGGGAGAGACCTGCAAAACCAGAAGCCTACTCAGATGGAGCAAAGGTAAAAAAGCCTAGGAAACATGTCAGAAAGCTGGCCAGGCACCAAATTGGGACATCGCCCTCTCCGCTGAATCCAGTGCCCCCTCTGGTTACTTACTGCAGCATCAAAACCCCTTGTCGATTACCTATGCCTTGAAAAGGGTTTTGTTAACTGATATCCACAGCGCACGGCGAGCCTAGAGGCCTTACCTGCGTGTCCCCGGAGGTGCTGGCTCGAGGCGGACGTCAGCTTACAGCACACCACCAACACGTAGGCCAGAAAGAGCCAGTGCGACAGCAACATTGACCTGGCACACACTCGCATCCTGGAGAGAAAGCAGGGCTCGGGTCAGCAGGCACTGGGTGAGGCAAGGCTCCCAGCAAGGCCCCACCCCATGAGGTGGAGACAACAGGAGATCCCCAGCCCAGGAAAACCGGAGGCGGATCAAACCCAATTCACACCGCACAGGAACTCAATTTTCAATCAACACCTTTTGCAATTAAGAGTGCTGCAAGTGAGCAGCATGCCTCAGTGAGGAGACCACTGACCGGTCCCCAAGATGCAGCAATGCAGCAGGGATGCTGGATTTTATTTGATATCGCGAGATGTGCAGGTTACACACTTAGAGCGGGACTCAAATAAACGTGGCTCCTGTATCAGGAAGAACCCAGAGAAATTTCGTGCATGTGGCCCGAGAGCTTTCTCCTGGTTTCCTTTGCTGTTTGCAAGGCCCCCTCCTCTGGAAGACCACACCCAGAGTTTATTGAGCCGATCTCGAAGTTAAGTGAGGAGTACGGCAAGTACAGGTGCACAGAAAATAAATTCAACCTCATGAGTGCTGGGGCCCCTACCACCCATGTGGGAGACCCGGATGGACTTCCTGGATGCCAGCTTCTGCCTGGGCCCAGCCTTTGCTGTTGTAGGCATTTGGGCAGTGAATCCCACCCTTACAAATCAGCAAAGGTGTTTTACAAGCTGCACTGTCCTGAACACAGAGAGCCAGAGAGTTGACAAGCAGGACTGAAACAGTTTGCCCATCAACTGTCACACTGTGATCCCATCAACAGTTCTAAAATGAAACTGAAAGCAGGGTAGCAAAAATGCATGTTCCCAGTCTCCTAATTTCCTACCCTATTTATTTAACATCAGAGAATTATGGAACTTGATTAACTTTGTTTCCCTTTTTTTTTTTTTTTTAATTAAATTTTCAAGCAACAGTCAGGGCACCTGGCATTGAGAACTCTAGGGATAGGAGGTTCCGCCTGGCACATCTCTCCTGATGCCTCTTAGCACCAGGACGGACCTAAGCAGTCCTCCTTTCGGTGTCTTCGGGGTACGGATCCCAAAGCCCCACAGGCACCACAGGCACCAAACTGCACAGAAGTTCCAGTCTCTTTTATAAATTGATGTAGGAGGGGCATGCAGTGGACAGACAGCTCCCTGCACACACCGAGGCATCTCTAAATGACTCACAATACCTAATATAAGCTCTCTATGAATAATTGTTATGCTGCGTTGCTTAGGGAATAAATGACATGCAAAAGTCTTCACATGTTCAATGCAGATGCCATTTTTTAAAATATTTATTTGGTTATTTGAAAGGCAGGGCAACTGAGAGAGAGGGAGACAGATCTTCCCATCTGCTGGTTCACTCCCTAAATGCCTATGAAAGCAAGGGCTGGGCCCGGCCAAGGCCAGGAGCCAGGAACTCCTTCCAGGTCTCCCACATTGGGGGGTGGGAGGGGACAGACTAAGTACTTGAGCCATCTTCCACTACCTTCCCAGGAGAATTGGCAGGGAGCTGGGTTGGAAGTGGAGCAGCCGGGAATCGAAACAGCACTGCCAGTCCCCAGACGCCATTTTTGAAAAACTACTTTTGAACTGCTGTGGGTTGAATCCACACATGGCAGAAGACCTGGATAGGGAGAGCTGGCTGTGAACAAAATGGCCAAGAGCACACACGGCAGATGATGAAACAGCCGTGATGCGGGCTCCTCCGGGGGCAGCGCTATGAGCAGGACTCCGAGGCAGCATCTCTGGCAGCTGCCAGTCACCCAGCAGTGCCTCTGCCAGAACCCAACTTCCTGCCCCACACAGCCTCAGGGCACCCACGTGCGCACCTCACACTTCCAGGCCCAGGCTCTCTCCCTTGGCCTCCCACAGTTCAGCCAACCAGATCTCACTAAGAAGGTGTCCTATTGCTCAATGACTTCAGACTTGGTCTGCCTCTGCAGCAGCCAGGCCAGGCAAAGATCCCAAGACCATCTTTGAAGACCTGGGTGCTAAAGGTGGCACAAAGCACTGCCTTCCTTTTACCTTTTGGACTGTTTTACAACCACCTTAAATGGCCGAGTAGGGTCACACGTTATACAGCACGAGAAAACTAACACTCTGTTGCTCTGCTGCTTTCAAATTGTCCCTTTTTGGCATTTCTGTCCCGCATACCAAGCTGGGTGGTGGCAGCTGCCCTAGGCGGCGCTCCACACTCTCCACCTCTCCAATGCCATGCGCTCAGCCAGCCCAACTCATTCACTAGTGCCCTTCAAAGATTTATTTATTTGCTTGAAAGTCAGAGTTACAGAGAGGGAGAGGCAGAGGAAGAGAAAGGTCTTCCATCTGCAGATTCACTCCCTAAATGGCCCTAATGGCCAGGGCTGGACCAGATCCAAGTCAAGAGCCAGGAGCTTCTACCAGGTCTCCTACATGGGTGCAGGGGCCCAAGTACGTGGACCATCTTCCACTGCATTCCCAGGCACATTAGCAGGGAGCTGGATCAGAAGTGGAGCCACCAGAACTCAAACTGATGCCCATAAGGAATGTTAGCATCTCAGGCAGTGGCTTTACCTGCTATGCAACAACACTGGCCACCCTTTGAATTTCTGACCTTGGGCTAAGATAAAAGCCTTTCTAACAATTCTATCAGTAACTGACACTGAGATTAAATACTGGATTTTTTGAAATGTACTGTGTAAAACAGAGGATGCCATTAAAAAACTTCATCAATGGGGTTGGGCATTTAGCTGAGCAGTGAAGGCACCTGCTCAGTACCCCACAGCCAAGCACCTAGGTTTGATACCTGGTAGTGACTGCTCACTCTGGCTTTCTGCTCATGCAGGTCCTGGGAGGTGGTAGCGATGGCTGGAGTGATGGGTTTCCTGCCACCTGCATGGTAGACCTGGATCAACTTCTCAGTATCCACTTGGGAAGTGCGTCAGCAGATGGAATATCTATGTCTTACCTGCTGCAGCCTCACAAATAATTTTCAAATACAGAACTGTGAACCTCTTTGTTTTCCCTAAATGACATAGTTGATACCATGAGGATACAATACTATCTCATGTTCTTTTCTTTGTTGCCTTTCAAATTGATTCTGGACATCCTGCCCCCTTCTGCGTGTGCACTGGAGTTGGAAGACATGCCCTGGGAAATGCAAACCCACACAGGCCCTTCAAAGCAGAGAGGTACCATGCATTTGCCTAAGTTCAGTACGTTTGGGAATTCAGGGGCAAGTTATCAAACTTGAACAGTGTCAAAGCACCCGAGTCTCTTCTCTCTTTCTGGAAGCCAGGAGTCCGGCACATTCTAGCTGGGGCCTCTATTTAGGGAGCCATCAGGCTGACCCAGGTGTCAGCAGGGTGTGGCTTCATCTGCAGGCTCAGCTTGGGGAAAGACCACTTCCTAGCGCCCTCGGCTTCTCATCAAGATCCGTTTCCTTGGGACTCTGACTTTGGGCCTCATGTCCTCGCCACCAGCCAGGAATGGCCCGCAGCCCCTGCAGGCTGCACTCACGGCTTTGCCACATTCCGTCTCCCTTCTCCTTCATGGTTCCAAGCCCTTCTTCCAGGGAAGCATCATCCCTTTCTCAAGTTCACCTGATAGGGTCAGGCCCACCCAGAAAAATCTGCCTTTGGATGAACTCAGTCAATTGATTTGAGATGACAATTTGTATAGTGCAGATTCTTTCACCTGTGCCAAACAACTAAAACCTAATGAAAAGAGCGAGCCTGACAATCACTATACATGCAAGGGGAGGAGATGACCCAGGGCACATACACAAGAGGGTGCACATCCTGAGGACCTCTCTAGGATTCTGTCCACCACAGAAAAAGCCTGTCCATGCACTTGATCCACAAAGGTCCAGCCAGGTCTACAGTCCATGCCCTGGGTCTAAGTTGACAAGCATCTTGACAATACATCTTGAGATGTATCACTGAAAATGGGTCCCCCCAGGGAAACTGTACCAAAGGGCATGGGCCTGTCCCTTGAGAAGCTCAGACTGTTCACTCTCCTTGTTAAAACCCCCTGGCTCAACCTAACTCCAAAGTTCACCTTCCTGTTCCTAGGCCAATTTCCACCTGCTCAGGTCTCTACTGGCTTATTACTCCTTCTCTCCGAAGCCTGGTAGCACTGATCAATGTTCCTGCTTGGTGGCCCAGCTCCCCTGTAACCATCCACAATGTCCCCACCCAGCTGATGGCCTCCAACTTCAGACTAAGCCTTTCAAGGCAGCTATCATCTCTCCCACCTAACCTACAAAGAAAACTCAGCCTCCATCTGTTTATCAGTGCCCTTGATTGCATTTTGCCCAATCTGAAGATTATGTCTGTATTGGTCTGAGTGGCAAAGGCCAGATCCTTGGGGAAGCCACCTCTGATATCGAAGTCAGTGCATAGGAGCTTGACTGAGGCGTGATCTTGGGGTCTTTACTTATAGTGGGTGGAAAAAGGAGAGAGAGAGAGGATAGAGAGAAGAAAGGGCCTTAGACAACCCTCTGGACAGTTCCAAAGCCAGAATGCCCATTCTTAGTGGCCCCAACCTGGGAAGAGGGGCCAGGCCTTCACACAGCCCTGTTGGTCTTTGATCCACTGTAAGGTGCTCCTAAAAACAGGTGGTCCCTGGGGCAAGGTGGATCTTTTAGTCGAGGGCAATTCTCGGAGCGGGCTGACAGCTGTGGGTGAGTTCCTGCCAGTCCTCCGAGGGGCAGTAAATCCTTCATTCCTGGAGGTCATCGGGCCAGTGCATCACAGTACCCACTGCCTCCATTTTCACACGCAACACCCCATGGTGTATGCATGACTGACTCTGCAGGACTGTGGGAGACAGCCTCAAGTGACGACCCCCTCTCCTGACGTGTAAGAAGCCCACACCAAGCTCACTGAAATGAGATTGGAAGGGACAGGTGTTGAATAGTGGTTACAATGCTCCTTGGATGCCTGCATCCCACATCAGAGTGCCTGGGTTCAAGTCTCAGCTCCACCTCCGACTCCAGCATCCTGCTAATATGCACCCTGGGAGGCAGGAGATCAAAGTTCAAGTCCTCGAGTCCCTGCCACCCACATGGGAGACTGAGACTGCACTGTGGGCTCCCGGCTTCAGCCTTGCCCAGCCTTGGCTGTTGTGGGCACTTAGGGAGTAAACCAGCAGGTGAGATCAAGCAACCTCTCCCTCTCTCTCTCCCCCTCTAAGTAAATATAACCAAATAAATAATTTTTTTGTAGACTCTCAAGGGCAAACATTCCAAATCCCAAACACTATTCTCTCACCCTGACCTGCCGTCTTCACACACGGGCAGCTGTAGGCACCAGGCTCCTGGGCAGGGACTCACAGGCTCCCAGCGCCTCAAAGAAGCACTAACTTCAGAGCAGCTGTGATTTTCCCACAGAAACGCCAGGGCTAGATGCCCAGGCAGGGCAGGAAAGCTATTCAGGAAGAATTCTCTATCTTCCTCACCTTTCCGCCTACCAAACAAAGCAAGGCATTGCTTGGCAAACAAATAATCTCATCTCAAAGACAAACATGGAAATTAAAAGGCTGACCAGTTTCCAAATTAACTGATCAGTTTCCAAAACCCCAGGAATTCCGTGTCCAAGAAGGCTCTCTGTAAGTCAGCATCACCTCTTAGGTACTCAGTTTTGTTACATTTTTCAATACCTCACCATGATGCCATCTCTAGGTATGTGTTGAAATCATTTTACCTTGGGGACTTCATAAGATTTGGTTCCGGTCAAACACAATTATTCCAAGATGTATTTCAAAGAGATTCCAAATTCCCATCTGCAGCCAGGGCCAACCATTTCTGCGGCTCCAAAAAACTCATCTAAGCACCGAAGGCCTATTTTTAAAAAGAAAAAAATAACAGGCATCAATTAGCATCTCAATGTGGAAAGGAGACAGCTTTCCAGTAGCAAATAATGGTTTTTAAGGTGTCGCCCGCAGTTTCAAGCAAGCAGTAGACAGAAAAACCCAGCCGTGTTTGTAAAGTGTCCTAACATTAGAAAAGATGGCGGCATCCTACAGTGGTTAACCAGCCACAGAGTTTTAAAGAAGTTCCCTTCGCAGCGAAGCATTCACAGTTTCACAGAGAGCCCCAAACCATTCCAGATGAAAAATTTCACCCATTTTCACTGATCTTTGGACAAAAACAGAAATTGCAAACATTGAGAAAATATTTTTAGAAGGAGGACTCATGTGACTCCCAACCAAAGCCACCTTAAGAGAAAGTATAGGGCCGGCGCCGCGGCTCAATAGGCTAATCCTCCGACTTGCAGCGCCCGCACACCAGGTTCTAGTCCTGATCGGACCCCGGATTCTGTCCCGGTTGCCCCTCTTCCAGGCCAGCTCTCTGCCAAGGCCAGGGAGTGCAGTGGAGGATGGCCCAAGTGCTTGGGCCCTGCACCCCATGGGAGACCAGGAGAAGCACCTGGCTCCTGGCTTTGGATCAGCGCGATGCGCTGGCCGCAGTGCGCCAGCCGTGGCGGCCATTGGAGGGTGAACCAACGGCAAAGGAAGACCTTTCTCTCTGTCTCTCTCTCACTGTCCACTCTGCCTGTCAAAAAATTAAAAAAAAATTTAATTAAAAATAAGAGAGAGAAAGTAGAACCTGAAATGACACCACTTTCATTATTTTTAAAATTTTTTATTTATTCATTTATTTTATTAGAGAGACAGAGAAACAAAGAGAGCTCCCATTCACTGGTTCACTCCCCCACGCCCACAGCAGTCAGGACTGGGCCACAGAAGCAATCAAAAGATGAGAGGGAACTCAGTCCAGCTCGCCCACATGAGCAGCAGGGACCCAACTATTTAGACCACCACCTGCTGCCTCCTAGGGTGCATTAGCAGGAAGACAGGATCCAAACAGCAGTCAGGACTCCCTGCAGGCTTCCCAAATGGCATCTTAACCACTATGCCAAACACCCAGCCCAAACCACTCCCACTATTGCCAACTTAAAAATATATCCCTCCCAGCTGAGAAACTTAATGATGTCCAAATATATGTTGCAGATACAATGTAAAAGTGATTGTTTGTAACCTAATCACTTTAGAACCCTATAAACCCATTCCATATGTAACACCAGGCCCAAATCCGATTTTTTTTTTCCATTCTGTAACCTCCAAGTAATTCTGGATGTTTGATTAGAGAACAGTTAGAAGATAAACTTGAAGATCCCTCACACCCGGGGGGGCTACAGGAGACAGAGGGAGCCCTTGGGTGATCAGCTGAACAGAAGTGAAATGGCTTTGATCGACTGCATGAATATGAGTTGTCTTGAAAAAAAATGACTGGAAATTGTTTATCTCCCAGATCTTCCAACTTTATTAAATACGTTTGTCCTATGTCCACCCAAAGGCACAACGTAACCTTCTGCTATCAGAAAGAGCCACACCATGTAAGTTATCAGAACCCGTTGTAACGAACTCTAAACCTATCAGAAATCAAAATGAACTTTCTCGGCTAATACTTATCTTGTTTTCAAACAAAAGGAACCACTGAGTATTCTTTCATTGATTCATTAAAAAATGGATCCATCAGTGAAAAGAAATGTGATCTACTCATTTGCATGCCAGACCAGGAGCCAGGAGTTTAACTTCAGGCTGAGCACTAACTCACGTAGTCAGATTCTCCCGGAGTGCAGACAGACAGACTAGGAGCTAAAACTCCACCAGGGTCTCCCGCATGAGTGGCAGGGACCCCCATACTTTGGGCCATCATCTGCTACCTCACAGGGTGCGTCAGCTAAAAGCTGGGTTGGAAGCTGAGACTCAAACCAGCACCCTGAATGGGATGCAAAGCGGCAGCCCAAACTGAACCACAATGCCTGCCCCACTTCCAAACTTCAACATATTCAAGCCCGTCCAGAATTTTGCATAGGGCAACAAATGCATTGACTTGAAGTCATTTCATTTCTCTCTCAACAGTCCTTTCTATCAGCCTGCTGCAAACGACATGTGTTTCTAAAAAGAGTTTTCAGTATTCTCCATGATGAAAGACATTGCCCGTATCGAGGCTGAAACAACACTCCTTTAAAACGTGCCCAGTCAATCTCAGAACAAACTAAAAAGATGCAGCGTTCGGACGCCGGGGTAGATTTTTCATCTTTCACCCGATGTGTCGGTATTATGCGGAGACAGTCACTCTTTTACTACCAAAAGAGCGGAATGCCAATTTCTATTTCCTGGTACCAAGTTTCCAGACATGAGAGCCTGTTCTTCAAACATTCAATTCATGGCCACATTACACACAAAAGAATTCTGCCTACACTTGACATCTCATCAAGGAACTAGAAAGGCTGCACCATTTCACCCTGTGCCATTGCCCTCACCGTGAGTGGGGTGACTTCCCCAGAACTACCCTTTAGGGGCGTCTTTCCCTGATGGCGGAAGGGCACCCTCAGAAGAGCACTGAAGGCTCTCTGGCCACACCAACCCTCACTCCACAGGGGTTCATCTGCCCCGGCCACACCCACCCTCACTCCACAGGGGTTCATCTGCCCCGGCATCATGTTCTCCCTGTGTTTCTATTCTAAAAACTTTCAACCGTGAAACAGTTAAGTTCCTTTTAAAGTTACAAGACACAGTTACCTGCATCTTACATCATTGGCAGAATGGGGAGGTTGGGGCAAATGAGCTGTTTCCAGACTCCCCATCAGCTCATCTCTGACCTCCAGGGCTGGCTGGCGATCACTATTCTCAGCCTCCTGGGAAATATGATACAAGCAGGAGTAATTCCTCCAACTTCTGATGCAAGAGGGAACACCCTGCAGAGCTTAGGCATGTGCTAATCGATGTCTCCACACAAATTTCCACCCAAGACAGAAGAAGAGGGAAGTGGGCACTGTGTCATCAATTAGCAGCCAGGGTTTGGGCAAACCCAAAATGGTCTTATAAGAGGAAGATGGAGTAAAAACATAGTCCCACTAGGCGACATCCAGTAACCAGAGGAAACTTCCAGGTGAACCTTGCTTACAGAAAACAATTGGTCATTCCTCCAGGCAGAAATGAGCAAAGATGCCTCCATTTCCAGCTGCTTAAAGAACACAAAGGAATGGTCTTTGGAAACTGGCAAGCAGCTTTTCTACCCAAGTACGCACAACCCACTGGAGCCTCCCGCTCAGCAAATTCTGCAGCGAGACAGGTATTAATCAACTGGAGGAAGGCAAACTTACTTAAATAGGCTACCAACACTCCACAGCTGCAGCTTCTATCGCGCCATCACTTGCAATTATCACATGACACACGGGACGGCTTCATCGCTGGGAGCGTGCTCACCGCCCTATGTTAAAGCAGGTGCCTTCTGCTGCCACTGTGTGCTCCGCGCGTGTCATAAATTGCTTTTTTATTGCTCGCTTAAAGACAGGAATTTACTACTGAACCATTTTACTACATGCTAAAACATGTTGTAAATGAGCCATTAACGACAATAACAGTGTCTACTAAATATTAGAGAACTGTAAAGATGGCCCTTTAATTGCACATGCTACCAGTACCTCCTCATCTAAATGAGGCAGTAGCGAGTTCTTTGAAAAGGCTCTTCTGGCTCAAGATGGTTTAAATAAACCGACGCGCTAGGTTTATAGAAGGCTCGCATGCTGTCTTTTCAAGAACTGACATTTCTTAAAATGCAGAGCCCAGGCTTACATGACAGTCACAGTCCTCCAACCGTGCATTTCATTCCTGAAGAAAATCTTTAGCCTTCAAGGGACCACCAGGGTTACAAAAGCAATCATCATCACTAAGTGAGAAGGGTTAACTGAGAACTGCCATGCTTATGTGCGCTGGTTCGAGTCCCAGCTGCTCCACTTATGATCCAGCTCTACTATGGCCTTGGAAAGCAGAAGAAGATGGCCCAAGTGCTTGGGCCCCTGCACCTGCGTGGGAGACCCAGAAGCTCCTGGCTCCTGGCTTCAGATTGGCGCAGCTCCAGCTGTCGCTGGGAGTGAACCAGCGGATAGAAGACCTCTCTGTCTCTGCCTCTGCCTCTCTGTAACTCTGCCTTTCAAATAAATAAATACTTTAAAAAAAAAAAAAACAGAAAATGAACCTGTGAGTTACAGACAAGAAAATCTCAGCAAACTCCTTAACATCTAGCATGGCTACACGGCCTGTCACCCAAATGAAGTCACCCAGGTCTGGGGCTGAACGCCTGTGGGCTGTGATGGCAATCCAGCCACAAGTCTCTCCAAACCTAATTAGCCTTCCTGTAGAGCGTTCCTTTCTTTGACTTAGACCAGTTTTTAATTGGAAATTTTCCTCTCATTTCTCATTTTTTTCAAATAGTCAAAACACAGGGTGCAAGGGCTTCAGACAGACTGGGCAGCTCCAGATTTTACACGATCTCCACGAGCTGCCACGCACTGCACCTGCCAGCCAAAAAGGTTGATGCGATCTCGCTTCAGCCCGAGGAATGTTCATCAAAATAAAGTTAAGACAAATATCAAGAGCAGCACCTCTACTATGTGGTTGCTTTCCATGGGGTGGGGAGTGGAGTCTACTCACGTATGAATGCAAACCTCTTAAAGGGGAGAGATGATACCACCTCTTTCCAATCCCAACAACCCCCTCCCCACATGATATTTGCATGTTCTGTTAATAAATGAATAAATGTATGTTTCAGCCCCAAATGTCGTCCAATCTCTACTCCCTCCCCCCCAGAATCCTTCAGCCTAATGAACTTGACAACCTGCAGGTACAAGGTTCCTTGCAACCGTGACAGTGCCTCACAGAACATTGAAGAAAATTCCACTGGGACTCAGGTTTGAGTAACATACACTTCATGGATGCACATCCACGGCCGACTCAGACATGGTTCAGCAAGACAGAGCCCAACACAGA